TTATTTTTCTGAAATATTGTTGTCACAGGAAGTGAAGACTTGAGGTGGTATCAGTCCCCACTCTCAGAGAGCGAGTCGTGTGTTTATCATGCGTCTAACTGACAGTTTCTTTGTTCTTGAGAGCTGTACGAGAGGAGCAGGATCACCATTATTGGATTCATTTAGTTCCAAGATTAAAATTTAATTTTATTGTATTATTCATTAAATGTAGACATGTATGAGGAGTATAAATGGCAGAAGATGAAGCAGATGATTTCCAATCCCACCCACAACTACCAGTTCCTCAAACCGCCACTAGCGGCTGGCTCTAGAATTGATTCAATCTCCATAAGGCCCCATATTAAAATGCCCAACTTTACAGCCTGGTACATAAAACGTGTTTGGCCTCTATGGTTAAAGTCCCGTTCATGACAAATGTACAGGAGGTTTATACAACTCACCTGTTTAAATTATATTAAGGCTTAAAGTTATGCATAATTAAGAGTGTGGCAACTTTGAGTGACAGGTGGGTGGCGTCACATGCGCCATTTGGCCTGCCTCAGCTCTGTCCACGCTTCACATCTCTTCCACCAAGATGGTAACGCCCAGAGCCGACCACACTGAGCTTCACAACGTCCACTTTTTATATATACAGTCAAAGGTTACACTCCAAACTCCTGAATTAATTTGTGTTTGTAATCTGCAATCCTTATATCTCTTGCTGAATGTATTTTGTGGAGTCTAACTAAGATAGTGTATAGTTATTGTGCTGTTAGTTACAGAGATTCATGTGATAGAAACACAGCAGAGGTTCCATGATTTGGTCCCTGTGCCAGTTATCATCCCACCTCATAAGATAATGTGAATATATACTTCTATACTTTTCTATGTTTCCTTCAGGGTGTTTTATTTCAGGTTGCGTGTGTTTAGATGATATGAAACTCAGAGCAGTGTGGAATACAGAGAAATCAAAACAGCAAACCCACAAAGCAGTTCTTTATCTCCTGATAGGTCGATCAGAATATTGAACAAAACACACATGTAGGCTTATCTGTGTCTCACAGAGGCGACAGGTTCCCTCTCAACTGATGTTTGTCAGAGTGTGCGGTTTAACCCACGTCTTCCTCTCACCAGCTCGCGTTTGCCTGTGTTCAAGGAAACGCTCGGCCTGATGAGAAGAAGAAAGAGGAATTAATCTTCACATCTGTAATCTCCTCACTTCGTGTTTCTACATTCAGTGACAGTACACCAATGTGAGGCGATCAGAGGCTAAACCATTGCTGGAGAAAGTGACTGAATGCACGTCCTGTTTCCCTCTTTAAGAAATGTCAGCCTTAAAGCGAGATTTTCGTGTTTAGCACCTGGTGTGTGGTCGCTGTTTCTTGGGAAAAGTATAGTACTGTGACACAGGAAGTGTCCCTTTTACTTAAATGAGAATTTCTTTGGAAACTGGTTACTGCGAGCTCTGACAGCTGAACATAGGAAGAAACGAGAAACAACTACAGGTCTACAAGTCTTTTTAGGAACTTTTACAACACATAAAGACACAGAACACATCTGGGCACAAAAAGCAAATAAAATACGACATCAACACAACAGAAATGTGGAACGTTTTCACAATAAAAGTAGGAATATCTGCTTATATTTTTATATAAGTTGAAACATGAGACCAAATTTCATAGAACTTCCTTTGTTTTGTTTGATTTTGTTTTCCATTTATTCGTTTACATAGAATCAACTCAGAACCACAGCCACCATAGTTTCTCCAACACGCTTCAAGCGAGCAGTATTCAGTTGGTCGCAGTCTGCAACCTCACCGCTATATCCGACACACTGGTCCTTTAATTAAATTTTCCATTCAATTCAATTTACTTTGTATCACCCCAACCGGGCCAATTCATAACAGAAGTACTCTCAGGACAACCATTTTCCAAATAGAGCCAGGTTAGACCGCGAACTCCTCCCACCCAGTACCACCATGCAGCAAGCACCTTGGCGACAGGGGCAAGGAAAAACTGCTTTTTAAGAGGCATGAAACCTAGGACAGACCATTCAGCTCTAGGTGGGTGGTCGTGGTGTCCCTGGACAAAGGACACACAGAATAATGAGTTTTCCATGTTTATCACCCGGTTTGTCTGTTGTGTTGCAGTTCAGACTGAATGTGCAATACGAAGAGGAAATTGTGATCGCGTACCTGCAGCCAGGCATGGAGTACTGCGTGAGAGTCTCTGTGAAAACATTCTTCGGGTCCAACAGCGTCTCCAGTAAACCCTACTGTGCCTTCACCAGCCCTCCATCGCACTCAAGCTCACGTAGGTCACAGCTTTTACAAAAACACTCAATTAACTTTAAATCTGTTCATTTTGGTGATCAGACAAAGCCATCAAGACATTTCTCTGTCCACCAGCTGAAGACCTTTTAATACATTACATGCACCTTATTATGAAAATGTGATGGCGGTTGTTGGTAAGATACATTTGCTCAGTTTCTTATTGTAACAAGAACATTTTCACCTTTAAATAAGATATTTTCATGTTGTAATCACATAATTTTATTTTACAGCTGATTATTCAGTTTGAAGAAGAATCATGTTATAACAACATTTTTTCTTGTTTTTTATGAAAAACACAAAAATATAACATAAAATAATTTATATTTCTTACATGGTGGAATAATTAAGCTGTAACAGACCTAACAGGGAACAAATGTTAATTAAAGGTTGTCACATTAACCACAGCAGCGAGGTTAAATACACTGAGACTGTTTAAATTCATGTTTTAGCACTACGCTGTCTTAAATGTGTCATTTCATTATCGTCTCTTCCGTACAAAGACAACGAAAGTTTAAACTGTGACTAGTTTCATGTTAACAAAGAGAAGAGCCAGTTTACTGACACATAATAGATATATAAATATATCTTTTTAAACTAGTTTTTCTGATGATGTCGCCTTTATGGGACATAATGGGGCTCATGTCCCATTACAGGCAACAGAGACACACCTTACGCAGGTGTTTTCACTCATGCTGCCTGGATAGAACTCTTCCAAGGTTCGTGTGTGCTCGATTGACGTCCTCCTCACTCTCCTTAAACAGACAGATGAAGTGATATCTTGTGTTTATCTGACTCAAATACTGTGCATATAAATACACTCAGCTGCCAGTATAATATATGCCATTTATAAGGAACACATATTTACAACTAAAGTAGTCTAACATTAGAAGGCCTGATTTATTTAAACTGGAAATGTGTTTGAACAGGCTGCTGTTCCTCCCCAGTGTTTGTTGCTCCTGACCTGAAGGCTGAAAGGGGAACTTCATTTGAATTTTAACAGTTCCTCTTGCAGATGTACATGTGCAAGAACTTGGATTTAGTTTTTATTCTGAAACTTGACCACAAACATCTGCGAGATGTCAGTGTTATTTTCTTACATCCTCATATGAATGTGCTGAATTTGCTAATTGAATTTCCATTCTTCGGACATGTATGGGGATTTCTAATGTTCCAAAGTTTGGGAATCTGATATGTTGCTGTCCTCCTGTTTCAGTGTATGTGGTCTACTGCCTGCTGGGTGCGTTCAGCGTACTTGGCTGTTTCCTCATTGGATTCGTTGTCTACGGCAGTCGACTGAGCTCCAAATTACTGAGACGCCTACCCAGAACCCTGGTAACAGATCCAACTGTGTGTGCTGGGATCAATTGTTCATCCTCGCCTTAAATGTTGCACTTAAAAGGCTTTACATGCCTCCATTGTCCAAATGCTAATCAATTTGATCAGTTCAATTAATTAGTTGTTTTCCGAAATAACTGAGCTAATTAAGAGCTCACTTTGATTATTAGACACCAGTTAAACTATTGGCGAAGTGATTAAATAGTCATCAATTAACCCTTCAATAGAATGTTAATCAGTAACAATTTGAATAATCACTGGTTTGAGTCATTAATCATGCAACAAGACTTAGAGTTTACAGCCATGCTTGTGATTGCACAGTGAAGCTAAATGCTAACATGAGCATGCTTACATGGTCACAATGATGAGGCAAACTTACTGACATTCATTTGACCTGATGACGGCGCTAGAGGAAAGGTTACAGGATCAGTACAATTATTACAATTCATCCTGAGGGGAACATGAACGTGCACAGCTAATTTCATGGTAATCCATCAAACAGTTAATATATTTCACTAAAAACCATAAATGTGAACCTGATGGTGGCGCGGTACAGTACTTCATGGCAGAGATATTTCAGACTGGACCACCCGACAGATCGACACTGCCATCCCTAGAGCCACGCCGCTAGCATGGCTAAAAATGTGAAACCTCTGCTAGTTCCAGCTAGCTTCTCCGCTGTGACGATTTTGTCTGTTTGATATTATTGTTTAATGTGTTTTGGACTGTTGCGTGAACACAACAAGCAATTTGAGGATTTCGCCTCAAAGTATAAGTCTGGTGATGTTCTATATTTTTCTTCCTTTCAACAAATCCCAAGTGCAGACCCGAACCAGCAATGAGGGTATCGACTAACAAACATTGTGCGAGTAATAAAGACAACATTGGTGCCATAAAGCACCACTGTTGTTAAAAACACACCAGTGAGCTACACTGTTGCACTGGGTGACATCTTCCTTCCTTACCATTCACTTCCTTCTTATTTGTTTGAAAAACTACAGCGAACAGCTGTTTTAGGAAATTACTGAGTATTTTTCTTAAAGGAAACTATATATTTGTGAGATGTTTTTAAAGATTTACGTCTTCAGAAAGAAACCAATCGTCTTGGAGCTGAGAGCCACAGACAGGAAGTCCGAAAGGACTGAGACACGTTGTTGGTTTTGGTCTTTTCATGAGATTTGTGAACAATAAGAAGAATATATAATAACACCAGAGTTTTCATTTAAGCTCTGGGAAAGGGCTCAACACCTGGCTGAAACTGTGTTTTTCCCCTCCTGCCATCACTGCTTGTGTGGTTGGGTGTGGTCACAAATGTGCTGTGTTGCACCTGTAACCAAACCCAACAGTGATGTCACAGGGTTCTGGAGTACACCTGTGCATCACTGCAGCAAGGTGAGAAGTTAAACCACTGGGGGTCAGCAAATGGAAGATTTTAAGGGGGTGCTAAGCTACTCTTTAAAGCAACATTATGCAAGAATGCTCCCCTGCAGTCTAGGAGTGTAACTGATTCATACAGCTGTCACCGCCACCATCCTCTGTGGTCTATTCGCCTCTCTCGCAGAGGCCGGGGCAAGCGGCGGATGGTCCCAGGCCTTTTTTGGCACCGCCCCCCGCAGCACATCTAACTGAGCTAACTAGCTTATGGCTCTTCAGTTAGCGGCACTTAGTGGTTACTTTGGCAACAACAAGTAAAGCTACTTGTCCATCCATTAGGAAACATTTTCTCCAACAGGCGTACGGGATGCAGAGTGGAAATGTACATGTGTAATAAGGTGAACGAAATAAGTCAGTTTAGCATTAAAATGATTCTGTTATTGTAAGGTAAAATAGTTGCATAATGTTGCTTTAAACTGTTTTATATGGGACCATCTTGTGAGGTTATTGTCAGGATCCAGATTTCCAAGATAACTATAGGCACATATATAAACAGACCACTGTACCTGTGGTAACTGTCCATCTTAATGAGACTTAAGTGGAGCATTATCAGCAACGTGTAAGCATCAATGTCTCTCTTATCTCCAGTCATACTTCCTCCTCCAAGTCCTGAATTGTGGAAGAGCACCGCCTGAATGCTTGGGTCAGATCTCAGCCACGCAGCTGCATAAAGAAGGCTCTGCTGACTGCCTTCTGACTGCCCACAGGCCTCTTGAACTGCAGAGGAGCAACTCTGAGGAATGTGAGGAAGACTGTGGACTACCAGTGAAGTCTAAAGTGTAAAGTGATAGGATGGAACTTGTACAGGTGGAGTTGTTTTGGCTGACTGGTTTTGAGAAGAGGAGGTAATTGGGGGTAAAGAGTGACATGTCTTTGTAAATAGTAATAATTCTATTTCATGCCAGTATTTTTGTTTCTTCTGACTCTTCATCTGTCTTTCTAAATGAGTGTGAGGTTGTTGAAGTTACTGTTTGATCAGCAGAGTTCATGCATTAGTTTGAGTGTTCTTACTGAATGCACTTACAGTATGTGTTGTATTAGTGTCCATCCTGTTATCCTATGCCAAATGAGCCAAGTGATTTAGATTTTTTCTGTGATTCTTTACTGATAGGCTGTTTATCTTGCAGTAATCAGGCTGCTGGTGCCTTTTTTAGGGTGATACACCACCCTGATGGTATCAAAAACCAACCCAGTCTCACGCCAAAGCATGTAATAGATCCACTAGAGGATACCGTGTCAGTGTCACGTTTTGTCTCGCCTAGATGTGAAAACTACACACACATTATTAAGAGCCATGTACACAGACACAGAACTTTCACCCATCGGACTGCTGCTTGCACCCCTAAGCTAACCAAACTGCGACATCACCTTTGTTTTGATGTTGCATATTTATGAATGCTAACTTGAGTCCCTGCTGAAGACCTGACACTGCCACGGTGGGCCGGCGTGTTTGCTTTGGCGTGATACCAGGTTGCACAAACATCTGGTGGATAAAGCACGGTGTGTGACTTCTTTTAACTTTACTGTATGTGTGTTCTCAAAGTTATAAACTGGAAATATTGTCTTCAACCATTAATGTGACGGTTCATAATCTTTTTACCAATAAAGAAAACTTAATAAACAGAGATATCTTGGAGATGATTGTATTATTATCAGGGCTCTTGTGACCATAGTTCATCTTCGCTTATTAAACTCTACTTTCCCGCAGGGACAGGCCACTGCTGGTCTTGGGGGGCCATGGGGAAACCTTGAAACAGTGAAATAGTAAAACAGCATAGGAGTGGTCATATATGGTGCACATAAGAAGGTCATACAGAGGTCAGAGGGTGCACTGACACGGAGACTTGCAGCTGCATCTGCAGCTGTACCTGCACCTGCAATGTAACAATATAATCTAAAAATAGACAA